ACATGCCGCATGAGGCCTAAGAATAACCCGTGACCTTAGAAAAGGTGGTTGAACGTGCTGCAAGGGCTGTTGCCGAATCGGCGTTCGCAGGCACAATTCCAGCGCACGAATTTGAGGACCCTCGCGTGAATTAGCTTAAATGTGACGAGAGATGTAGAAACTCGAAGAAATGCATAATGAAAAATGTATACGTAAGATGAGATAAGGAGTACAATAGGTTACAGTGTACCTGAGACAGTAAATCAAGAGTTGTGAGGTCTTCTGAATTAAATACTTGAAGAGGGAAAAAGTATTTGTGTAGCGTGCAGCCAATGTACCCACTCGTTTCTTTGTCTCATCTTGGGTTTCTTTATTCTTCTTTTCATCATGTTTATGACTTTTATCCACCACAATTTCGTTTAAAAAAAAAATTGCCCCCTTGGTATAGAACCTGATTCACGGTTCATTTACCCTTTCGGCTTACCTTTCCGAGGTCAAGAATGATGACTGTGATAGCCCGAAAACAAGTCCGAGGCGATCATTATTCCATTATCTTTATGCATATTATACGATCACACGGCAACTACACAAGTCTATGAGATCCTTTCTCTTGACTCTCAGACGAACTCGACAGCATCTCTCCAGTGCTTTGTTGCCCGTTTTCTCCTCCAATATGCCCTAGGCTGGTCTGACGTCAGAAGATCATTGACAATAAAATGGCCAACAGTAGGGGACCTTCCAGGGCCTTCCTCCCTGTAGGTTTATGGCTATCAGGAAGTCGTAAACTTCTCTGCCTTCCATTTACTATGTTGGTGATAAGAAACAGTTGGAATATTATGGCTTGCGGAACGATTATAAAGTAGTAAACAAATCTCGGGTCAGAGATCGTTACTGGGAAGGGATAATTGAACACTGAATTTATCAAAGGCGTTAAGCCCCCAAAATATATACTATCTATTGGAAAATTATTCTTTAATTGAAAAGCTTAAGGGATTCTTGTTTAAATAGCATTGTCTTTATCACCTGCATAATAATTTGACGTTTATTTTAGTCATTGCCAATGTTACAAATATAATCTCTGGAAATTTTAAATCAAACCATTATTTCTAAATAAATGGCAAAGCCATTTTTACTTTGATTTTTTAACACGGTGTCTTAAGGTCATGCACGAAAAAGGGAGAGGAAAGCCGGACTCCAATAGGGAGACGTAAAAGTGGGTGTTATGGTGACGTTGGAACTCCCTACCTAGTATACCTGTAAAGTATACCTATGTATTTCTAGCTTTGAATTACATAAAAAAAAGTTGTATCCCTTAAGGAACACACAGGACTAAGAAGCCCTATTATCACAACACTCTCGTATTGTTTTTTATTTTAGTGCAGCATGGAACTCCTAAGGTCTCTTGCACTGTTGGAACACTGTTGAGAACTCGCTGTAACCTAATCTTGAAGTTCTACGTTCAATGCATGTGGTTGAGGCCAGTGGCTTAGGTCGACTTCTACGGGAAGTTCACAATATCAGAGTTGCTGGATATCGAGAGTGAGTTGTACTCTGTGTAGCTCTTATGTTCACCAACGGAAGAAACTACATCGCCTCAAAAGCAAACCAAACAAAGTAATTTTATTTCAGGGATCCTCTGGCGGTAGTAAGGACTTCATAGTTAAGAATGCGCCAAAGAACCCGATTTATACATTCTATGTGGCGATTGCAGTCGGCATCCGATACTTAGTTCCCCTTTTCAAATCAAAACTGACAATGAGAAGTTCAAAAGTTATGAAATATACTACTATGTACAGGTTTGGAGTACATTACTGCAGCCTCCTCTATGTTCGAACCACAGCAGAACCCCTCAAAAAATCCCCCACGGAGCCGTCACATAGTCGGTATAAACAAAGTCGGATGATCACGGGAACAGTAAAAATGATTAAAAAACAAGTAAATATGTACATTCATACTGAGAAGGAAAATCAAAAGATATTCATTTTCACTTACGTAGCATCGTCAGAGTGACTTCTGAGAGTACTCTCAGGAACGTTTATGGTCCAATTTCATTGTTTTGAAAATTTTAAAGTAGGTATGTATATCATAAATGAAGCATATATTGTTGATTAATTGTATTCCTGACAATGAAGAAATAATTTTCCAACAGGACGCATCAAATTCTCTAGCAGAAGGGAGGGAAGCGATATCCAGCAATCCGGCAGTCCGCACTATGGGGATATTATTTCTGCAGTAGGCTCCAGATAGCTCCTCAAGCTTATATCAGGACAGTCGCAGGACTGACTACAGCAGCGCTCGCAGCGGCCGTCTACAGAGAAAAACGCGAACTCCGATCTTCGCCGCCAGATGTCACGCCATACGCTCTCAGGACTCGTGGCCTCGCGGGGCGTTTCAAAAGGTTAAAATGCATTTCAGAGATTCTACAATGAAGTTCTGTTTCTGGGAGCTACGCGCGGAAGTCCTTAAGAGCAGAATAGCTGCGGAGTTGAAAAATAAACGGTAGATCTTTCGAGACTACACATTCGTGTTATGTAAACACTCTTCTGCCAGGACATAACTTTGCATCCGCTTTTAACTATATGCCGATTGCACTCTGCATCCTGCATTCGAAAGACGTCGAGAATTCTAACGTTGCGATGACAGGAAAGTAAACTGACATATTGTTTCTTATTAAAACCTTTTAGCATATCATAATGTTAATTTCTGATACAAGAGTGTAAAATACGATGTCTCACAATAAAAAGTGTTTTCCCTTTATTTGAACGCTCAAGTTGGTGCTATAGTTTTATATTGATGTGTAATTTAATATGATTTTTTTATCTGCATACGTCCAACGTGAATAATATAATAACTATAGTATACAACGATAAACCTTCCTTGATAAAATATTGTGAGCAGTGAGCATCTAAATAGTTTTTTCACACTTTCGTTGATCAAATAATTCACAAACGTATTCATAAACAATTCGTATACAATTCACAAACAAACACAACTATATATTGCTTATTGTATTTTTGTTTAAAACTGAACAAATTATCTCGCTTTATAAACTGCAATAGGTTCCTCGTTTTTTATATCAAGGGATAAGTGTAGTTTCTCATTATTTCACGTTTTCATCATTGATCTACAAACATTTCTGCTGCTCAAAAAGGATCCGGAAGAGATTCTTGACATTGGCAAGGGGCGGTGTGCTATCAATTCCTCTCATTGTCAAGTTCTTTCACATTACGTCACGTTGATCGTAAATACACTGCGGCTATTCTCGTTCAAGTACATTCGCATGTCTCGTCGTTCGAACCTGTTGCTTGGTTTGTTGCTCTAGTGGGGCTCGAGACATTATTATTTTTTTCGAACCAAAATGGCCGCGCTCTTGTACCCCCATTCCCCCCCCCCCCCCGCTATTACAACCACGCTCGCGCGTACACACAAACACACGAAAGTGGAACGACAAAATGAAAAGAAATTATGCGTTTTATGTTTGATTTTATATTTTCGCAAAAAAAAAGATCAATATTAATCAACACCCTGTTAATGAAGTTAATCCAGGAAGTTGGTCTCTCATTAATACTTTGCACATATAGGAAAAGCTATCAGGTCAAATTTTTGGCAAATTGGGCAGCTTCGTCGTATTAGAGATGGCCGCTTTTTGTTTTCGGGTTCCATCGGTTTTTGGTTTTTGAATAACAGTGCTATGTGGGCATATCGGTCAATATTTTTCCAGAAAGTTGCTGCATCAAGTCATATTATGATGTAAATGTAATTTTGGTACAAAATTAGTGTAACATTATTATAGCATTAAAAAAATACCAAGTGCGAGTGCTAGTTTGACGTCAAGCTAACTTTCGCACATTTGCCTGACATTGTTTAATGGTTTATAATTGAGCACTTTTTAGTTTGTTGCAAAATTAATAGTTAGTTGACAATTATAAACTAGTTAATTTGGAGATTCTGAGATGTGTGGGAGGCAGCTTGACAAAAACATCAAGTCTTCGTGGCTCTTCTTCCTGCCCTCTCGAACTGATAGGCTGTAGAGTAGGCTCTTGCTTTTTATTAATCTACTAAATTACTACTACTACTACTTACTACTACTACAACAAAACTTTGAAAATCACGAGTCGAGTCATAGAACTATCGACTGAATTTAATAAAAATTTCAATTTTTGCAGAATGCATAACATTAACAATTAAAAAACTGTTTACGATATTTTTATGGGAAGCTCACGATAGTCGTCAGTAGATTATTGATAAAATGTTTGTATGCATGTTCTCACAGAAGTGGCATTGTAACGCGTTTTGATGAACATGTAAGAAACGTGTGTGTACATGCGTTCCAAATTTGACAATGTCATGTCAAATATTGTTTTCACACAAGCACTTGAATTCAGTACATTCGAGTGGGAACTACTATAAATAAACGCCGAGGAATTTTCGCTAACAACAGAACAGACGCATCGTCTCAATGAATCGAGAACATCTAATAGTGAATAAATATTTATTTCATTTTTCATTTCAGTTTATTCATTTATATTGAATTACATCTTTTGTAGAGTATTCTGTGGTGGTATTCTTTCTTTTTTTAGGAGAGGGTCAGCATTTTTTTGACGAATCCATTTTTACACCCCAGGGTTGTTAGCACTAGGGAAAGAAGTATGAAATGATGATGATGGATGAAAATGAACAATTACAAACATACAGACACAAACACACACAACCATACCGGAGGCGGGATTCGAACCCCCGATCTTTCCGTCCGAGATCGCCACAGCAGTACTGCCTTAGCGATTTCGAATATCCGGATCTGCATTGTTATTATTGTTGATATTATTGTTGTTATTATTGTTGATATTATTGTTATTGTTGTTGTTATTGATATTATTACCCCTACCATTGTTGTTCTTATTGTTGCTTCTGTTGTTGTTATTGATATTATTATTCCTAACATTATTATTACAATGATTATTTTTGTCGTAACAATGAACAATTGCAGAAGACTTACAGTGGGCATGCGTTGTGTGTTGCAGAGTGCAGGAGCTGGATGGCGGCTTCTTCGAGAAGTTCGGCACTCTGCTGAAGGAGCAGGCGGAGGAGCAGGAGCTCCGGGAGAAGAGCCCCGAGATCATTGAGGACGCCAACGGCGAGGCGGAGGGCGTCGAAGGCGAAGGCGGAGGCGAGGGCGAGGGCGAAGGAGACGCGGAGGGCGAGAATGGCGTCGCCCACGAGGACGGGGAAACCCTCCCCGTCCCCGAGGACTCCGACTCGGAGCCCGAGCTGGCGGACAAGACAGACCTCATCTCCGTCGCCATGGGGTGGAACGTAAGTGGTGGACGGTTGTTTCATCGTCGATGTACAAGGGAAGAGGCACATCTACAAAATTGTCGTTTTGTCGAAGAAGAGATTAAATCTAAACGCAGCGGTCGAAGGCAAAATGAATGATTCACGGGGTGGTTCAAAATAAAAGTTACGAACTTTTATGGCGCGTAAGGAGGTCGAAGATGATCACATTTTGCCAATTAACAAATAGTGGGAAATCTCATGTAACGAAGTTACACTTGTGACATTTTCTCGTGATTGGTGGGTAACTGCACTGGCGTTTGATGGATACACGAACTCTTTGCGTCAACATTGGTCCCTATCAAACTATTCAAAGCGAGTTACCTATCACTAAGGGGAAAATTATACATATAAATTTCTTTGAGATTTCACACCATTGGCAAAAACGATCCTCTTCTATCTCTGTATATCGCGTAAAGTCGATAAATTTTATTCTTAACAATCCTGTGTAATCGGCTGTCTAGAAAACGAGCTTAGTGAATAGTTCACAAACAAAAATGTCTAGACATAATTCTTCGTTTAACTAACAAATGACGATTTTTGAGATGCGTCTATTCCTTGTGCACCGACGTAATGTGTGCATAGATGGATACAACAGCAGGGGAAGAAAACTTTGGAAATAGTTTCATACACCCATCAATAATGTTGCATTTTGTGTACGTCTTAACGACAGCCAAATTGAACTTAAATCGTGCCAAATATCATTTTAAGCGAAACAACGTCATGTAAAGGAAAAAAGTTAGTCATTTTTAAAATTAATTAAGACATTTAACTGAGGCGGAGCTGATGTATTTAATAAAATTAATTTTGAAATGTAAATTGTACACATTACTACATAACAATAAATTTTTTTTACATTTTCTTTAATATTTCTGCTCTTCAATGATATACCATTATTATTTGCGGCAAAACTTTATAATGAGAGACGTTGAAGTAAACTGCTTAACTAACGGCTTCTTTGTAATAGCAACATTATGGCCTACTCTTATCATACATACTATATTATTAAAATTTCAAAGTCGTCAATATTGAAACATTTTCGTTAACCTACAGCTATACATGGAGCCGAGTATACAAAAACGTTTTCACCTCCGCATTTTCGTAAAATCTCGCCGTCTTCGTAGTTACATTTTCTTGATCTCTCCAAATGTTTTCGATTTTCTTATTTCGTTCTGTTTTTTATTACTCTATTGATCGTTGTTTTGAGATCTTTTATAAATGATATTCACATTGTTACAGTGACGTGTGAGTTCATTTCATAAGTTCCATTTTGTAAATATGTTACGGATTATGCATCAAGTTATTCTACAACCGAGATATGACTCTGATACGACGTAATTTTGCTATGGATAAGTATTGGAGCACGCGGCTCATTTTCCTTTCTGTAGTTTGGTTCGGCCTGCGCTATCCTACCCTTGAACACGCCATTCACTTGATCGAAACCAACACCCACTAGCTGTGGCGAATTATAAGTCGCAGCAGAAATAGCAACCTCTTGTCCCTATTTTTTCAGTGGAGGGATTCAAGGCTGTATACAAAGTAGGTGGTATGAAATAAGAGGATACCATCCTAAATCTAAGGAACTGAACCTGAAACATATTTTCCCCCCGGCTATTCAACGCAAACAAGGAAGATAAATGCATTTTTGAACCAAAAATTTCTACACCGTCTGTTTGTAAAACGTGTGCCTTGAAAATCAAAAGGTCTTTTTTCTTAATTTAAAAATGTGTTAATAATGAATAATGAACCATTTTAGACTTCATTTAAAAATAAAATATGTCAATCATTTACTATACTTGTCTTTTTCCACAATGTTTTTGTGTTCTAAACCGTGGGTATGATTACAATAATATTGAAATTCCCTAACAAAAGTGAAATCTCACTTTGAGCATGCTGTGAATTACAACTTTGTTAGCGGTTTAACACGTCAGTATCAAAGTACATTTCTCACATAGTCGTTTAGCCATTTTACATTACATTTAACATTTATAAGAGTCTATGAGCGATAGTCATAGCAATTGACAATGCAATTTTGAAGCAGAGCAGTAATGCAATTTTGAAATAGAGCAAATTTTGTGTTGTCGGAATTGTGTAAATTAATGTGCAAATTCAAGAAAATCATGAATTTGAATCGTAACTCTGAATCTGATGGCACGTGTTCTGAGAGCATTGTGCTTTGTTCAACACGAACAATTAAAAATTCTCTCATGCTGACCCCATCATATATAATATTCTACGGTAGATATTTGAAGTGTTCAATAAAGGGGTAAGGTAGAGTAAGAAATCATGGAAACATTTTGTCCATGGACCAGTGGAGGGCTTTCAGCCTCCCTCTATTTGGTCACAGCGTCTTTCATTGGCGCGCGCTATCACATCACGTGCTGCCGCCCGGCCTCCCATTCCGCTTGATTGGAACCAGCGACGTCGAACAGCCGGCTTATTATAAAAAGCGCGCGGCATATAAATAGCGCCCTCCCTTGCCGTTATCTTTCGTCGGCTGAAGGGCGGGGACGGCGCAGGAAGAGGCGGGGAGAGGGGAAAGAAGGGGGGGGGGTCAGCGCGTGCCTGTTGCGAAGGCATGGCTCGTCCGGTAAAATATACTTAGAGGCAGGAAGTTGGTTGGTCCAGCAGCAGCGAGGAAATGCTGGTCGTCTCTCATGGTGTCGGATGCTGTTTCTTTGAGAATTAATTCGCGTTCTCGGGAGAAGCAGCGGGTTACGCCAGATCTATTTGAGACGGATGTGATAGCGGCAAAGGCAGAGGCGAAGCTCTAATTTTCGTTCCGAATCCGCTCGTCTGGCGAGAATTCGACACAAGAACGGTTATGGCTACACATTGGAATTTAACACTTCAAAGTATGATATTAATCGCCTAAATTTTGCTATTAAAAGGCAAAAATAGGTTGTGTCGCTAATAGGCAGTATTAATCGTCATGAAACTATTTTTTTACAATTTATTTCACTTCAATATGTTTAAAATATGAGTAGGAACTATTAAAATGAACACTAATAGACAAGTAAATACTAAACCATCAGTGAATGTCTCTCAGAAAATTATATTTGTATTTCAAAACCTTTTATCTAATGCATGTCATTTTATTTTTCATTTAATTTCCGTCCAATACTTTCAAGTTTATTCGCGACAGCTTCGATTGTTATAAAGAGGCATTTCTAAAGTCTTTTAAAGGTCGATTGGAATTTAAACCCTATACGTGAAATTGACATTTTTAGGAATATAAATGTTGTATCTTGGTATTGTAAGTCATGATATGTGTTAAATTATTTTAGAGAGTACACCAGGAGAGTAATATATGGGCAAGACTAAAAGATCCAAAGATATTTTATAATTAAAATGAAGGAGACCTTTGCATGAAACATTTGGAAAAATGGATTATGAAATGTTTTCCCACATACTGCAAAATTATTTACTTGCTGTAATTTTATATTGATTCACTAACATTTGCAACTATCAAAACAGCATGAATGTATGTTACTTTTAGTATCGTAGCTATATATCTGAATAAAGAGGGGGAAAGCGCCTATGCGACGTACATTAAAAAAAAACTCCCGTTTCAATGAGTAATTTATACTACAAATTTCCAAAATAATTGTGCAATTGACGAAATTGTGTCGTGAAGCTATAAGTGAACAATTTTTGGTTTTAGCGTTGTTGTTACATAGTGTAGATTGGGAGGTAATAGAAATGTTTTTATAATCATCCATTGTAAATTTGTTCCCGGACAATTTCTATTTTATTTTGTTTAAAATGTTTTAAAATCGCAAAATCATAATATAAATAAAACAATATTCGTCGTAGTTTGATAACTTCTGGACTTTACTCTTTAAATAATGACACGAGGCTTCACGTTTTTCTCTGTGCTGAGAAACTTTAAAATTTCTTTTCAATATTGGCGATTGGAAATAACAGACGTTTACGTATCGCTCATCGTGAAGTACTGAAGTTCACGGACCCGTTTCAAAGTCTCGCATAATTTAAAACACTTTTAATTAAATGAGGATCAAGAGTTCGAGAGATAACATAAAGAAGAACACATATATGAATTATAAATTGATTGTTACGTTACTGAGATACGATTCATTACATCAGATCTTAGTTAATTCAACCTTGCTGAAGGAGATAGCCGCGTTTATTAGCAGAGTTGATTTCCTAATGTAACTCATTTTTCGTTAATGTGAGTAAACATCGGCAATGTCACTGAATTTGATGATGTGCATGTTTCTTGAAAATTAAGTTTGTTAATATCTTTAAACATATTCTGTTATTCAATCAATATATTTCAATATTTTCCTTTCTTTTGAAATTATCCCACAAGTTTGAAACAATAATACTCTGGAGTTTTTGTTTTGTGAATTTACGGGTATTACGAGATAAAACAGCCACAAACAAACATGTTAATAACAACTATTTGATAAATATCAACTAATGCTCGTCTGAAATATTATTTGTAGTAACTTTGAAGCTCTTACTTCAGCAATGTATCGGGGATCAAAGATTTTGTTTCTGATATACATTTTTATAATATCGAATTTTCGCGGAAAATTAAAAGTAATCTCCATTTGCACGAGAAAACAGTAAATTTACCAATGAAAACGTTTTTATTACGAAAAAGAGATATAGAGTTTTTCGAAGTATCCGTGGACTAAATGCCCTGGTCGCGATAACAAATTACATAACACGACATAGCGCAGTTCTCTTTTGCTCAACCGACGGGGTCAAAAGACGGACGACTTGGCAGCGAGAATCGTGGAAACTCCATAGCTTCTACGCCTCTTCTAATTATTTTTACACATCCCTGCCGCGCCCACCCGCGTTTTGATGTATGTCCGTCTTCACAGTTCGACAAACTTACAACGGCAATGAGTATCTTGCCCTACAGTGTGGAAGCGATATTGCTGATTTTCTCGATCGTTTTCGCGGGTCTCTAAGGGAAGTTAAATGCGAATCTGTTTTAACTTGACGTC